AGCGAGGGGGTGCCCAGCTCGGGGCTGGCAGCCCCCAGGAGACATTGGCATCACCTCTGTGCAGCCAGACGGGGTTGGGGACTCCCCAGATCCCACCCTAAACTTCACGTGGCCGAAGGTGAGACCAGCACTGCTGGACCGCAAGCAAAGGCGGTGAGAGGGGACTGTGGTGGCAGCAGGAGCTGGTCCTGAAGCCAAAGGCTGGAGCAGAGCTACTCTCAGCTTTCAGGGCTGCTTGATGCAGGAACCCAAAGGCTGCAAAGCCCAGCTGCAGCCCCCGAAAGGACCTCAGACCCAGATGTCACCAGGGGACACCGCAGCCCGTCCACGTGGCCAAAACGGTGTCCCCAGGCAGAGCCACGAGGTAACCGAGCCACATTCTGTGCCTGCTGCCCGCCCGTCCCCCGAGAGCGAGGGCTCGGGCCAGGCTGGGGACCCGATGGTGGCAAAGAGCTCCTTAGGGACACCCCAGTTCAACTCACCTCGCCGGGTCCCGGCTTGGTGGGCGAGCCCTGGGAGCCGGAGATGAGGGAGAAGGGGCTGAGGGGGCTGGTGATGCTGGCCGAGCTCAGGGGGCTGGCGGGGCTGTTGGAGCTGTACGTCCCCGAGGGGCCGATGGCCACTGCGGAGAAAAGCAGAAGTAAGTGCATGCACTGGGGCTTTCTCCTCCCCGAGCGGGCGCCGCCGCCTGCCTCGAGGCAGCACGGGCAGCGGGGACGCCCCAAAACCGCGGCACGCTGGGGTCTGTGCTGTGCAAGGGCAGGGACGGACCCTGCTCACCTCTGTGCTTGGCAGTGTCCGTGCCGCGGGATGGGTTGTTCTTCCTCAGCCCCTCCATCACATCCTGGATCCGCCAGATCTCCTTCTGGATCTGCCGGTTGAGCACTTCGTTCTGGAGGGGAGAAAAGGCAGCGGTGAGGGTGGCTCCCACCACCGCCAGCCCTGCCGCACCCCAGCCCCGTGCCGAGCCGCGGCACCCGTGGGCGTTCAGGCAAGGGGGGGTCTGAGCCATCACACCCACGACTCATCTCCCGCCAGAAGTCATCGTTCCGCTCCCCGGGGCACCCGCTTAGGACAGGGAACTGCTGGAGAGGGTTTGGCAAAGGGCTACAAAGATGAGGGGACTGGAGCATCTTTCTTAAGAGGAAAGGCTGAGGGACGTGGGGCTGTTCAGTCTGGAGAAGAGAAGACTGAGGGGGATCTCATCAACGCTGATCAATCCTTCAAGGGAGGTGCCGGGGGATGGGAACAGTCTGTTTCCAGCGGTGCCCAGTGACAGGACAAGAGGGAACGGGCACAAAGGCGACCAGACGCAGTTCCATCTCCACCTGAGGAGGGCCTTCTCTGCTGTGAGGGCGGCAGAGCAGTGGCACAGGCTGCCCAGAGAGGTGGGGGAGTCTCCCCCTCTGGAGCCATCCCAAACCCGCCTGGACGCCGTCCTGTGCCACTGCTGGAGGTGCCCCTGCTCTGGTGGGGGGTGGGATGGGGGAGCTCCAGAGGGCCCTTCCAGCCCCCACCAGTCTGGGATGCTGTGACTCTGTGTGATGGAGCCCCAGCAGCACGGGGAGCGCTGGGCTGCAGCCCCTCGATGGCACCCGTGTGCCCACAGTTCCTCAAACCCCTCTGCCCGTGCCCATGGCCAAAGGTGGCCGCCGAGGGCTGAGCAGGCAGCAGCCACTTGCAAGCAGCTCCTTGGGGCTGAAGGAACCAGGGGGCTTCCACCTCCCCAAGGCTGGCGAGGGGGGGGTGTGCGGGGGGTGACCCCAGGGGTGGCAGAGGGACCCCGGGGCCAGCGGGGTCCTGCTCACCTGGATGTCCAGGTTCAGCTGCTCCCAGAGGTCGTCGTGCAGGGCGGACACCTCGCTCTCCAAGCTCTCGTACTCGGCGGTGCTATTCGCCAAGGCCTTCGGGGAGGGAAAGGTGGATGGGTTAGGGGGGTTTCGGCAGGTTTCTCCCCCGGCGGGCAGCAGCCTGCGCCGGCACGGCGTGGGAGCACCCGGGAAAGCAGGAGAACGCTGCACCCGACGTGACACCCCCGCCAAGGCGGGGAAGGGGTGGCAGCAGGGGGTACGAGCCCTGCTGTGCCCGTGGGAGCGTCTGGTGCCGACGGCACACCGGGCACAGCACGGAGAGGAAGGCAGAGGCAGAAGCGGGAGCCAAGATGACTCCCGGCACGTGTGCCAGCTCGGCACCACCAGGGTTAATTGGCTTTGTCCCCAGTGAAGGACTTTGGCTTGTCCGGGTCCCCAGCCAGCCGAGGGGATTTCCCTTCTAGCTTTTTTTATGAACAGGAAGGGAGAAAAGAGAGATGGCGGCGGATGGGGGAGACAGCCCCCCAGGCAGGGAGCGCAGCGGAGGGGCAGCCCGTTACCGTGCTGGCCTGCGACAGCTCCACGCGGATGTTGATGAGTTGGTTCTGGAGCGATTCCTTCTTGTGCAGCAGCTTCTCCGGGTAGGCGGGCTGGCTGCCGAACATCTCCAGCTCCTGGTGCGTCCCCATCAGGGCACTCTCCAGGCTCTCCTGGGGGTGGACAGGAGGGAGGCGCAGTCCTGAGAGCCCACCCAGTGCAGGAGCGACAGTCCCTCTCCCTAACAGGCCATTAAAGTGTGGTGAATCCCAAGACCGTGGCATGGCCAGGGCATCTCCTCCAGCTCAGAAATGTCCCCACTGAGCTGTCCCCAGCAGAGCGGGACATGTTGCTTCCTCACCACGAAGGTGCTGCCTGGGCATGGCCATCGCCATGCAGTGAGGTTCATCCCCAGACGGCCGCTTGAGCCCCCCACCACGTACCTTCTCTGCCCGGAGCTGCTGCACCAGCCTCTCCTGCTCCCGCAGCACCTTGTTCTGCTCACAGAGCTTCCCCAGCAGCTTCTGTCCCCGGGAGGGACAGAGAAAGGAGGAGAGGATGAGAGCACCCGTGTGAACGGCTCCATGATCAGCCGGGAGAGATGGGATAGAGCCAGGACGTGGCCCACAGGGTTGGTTTGATGGGACAACCCGGTGGTCCTGGGGAGGGTTTCCAGCCTGCCGTTGTCATTGCAGGGACCTCAGCCCCGGCCAGGGTGACATGGGCCAAATGTGGACGTGGGGCAAGACCAAGCAGCTAAGCTCAGCAGGGGATTTAGCCCCCGGGCAGCACGCACCACACTCAGGGCATCACCAGGTCTGTGTGGGACCTCTCTCTATGGGGACAGCAGACCTGCTGCAGGGGACAGGGGCAGCAGCACGGGGCAGAGGGGTGGCACGCAAGGACAGACGTTTGCTCTTACATCGGTGTCTTGCTCGCTTATCTTGTAGGCGTGCAGTGTCTCCCTGTAGGCCTCCGGGAAGGGTGTCACCTGCAAGCAGAGCGTGGGGTGAGCCCGGCTCCGGGAGCCCCTGGGGAAGGTGAGGCAGCTCCCAGTCCCTCTTCCCCATCCCTGTGAGTGGGGAAGGAGAGGCGAGAGCCGAAACTCTGGAGGCGGCGGCGGGTGTTCCCCATAGCCGGCATGGCCGGGCAGGCACCGGCATCGGTTGGGAGGCAGCGGGTGCTGGAGGCAGCGCGGGATGTCGGCGCTGGAGCTCGCGCCTGGCTCTGCCCGGTGGCTCGGATGAAGGCACAACCTCCCTCCCCATCCCCAGCCCCAGTGCCCATCAGCTGGGAGAGCCATGGGGATTAGCTGGAGACAACCTCTCCGCAGGACGCCAAGAGCTGAGTTAAAGAGATGCCTCGTGAATCATTAACCGCCTGGTGTATAACTGCCACCATTTCACAGGCAGGGAAACAAAGGCAGAAAGATTAAGCTGTAATCCCACTTAGCAGAGTGGAAACACCTATAAATCAGCAGCAGCATCAGGGCCTGTTTACCATCCGGCTTCTCTGTGAGTCATTTTCCTTTCCTGGAAATCTAAATTACTAATGGGACCTCACCAATTAAATGCCTCCAAGATCTCGAGATGAAAGGCATAAGATAGGAAGAAGGGGATCATTATTGCTAGAAAGCAAGACGCTACTTTAGAGCCATTTAAAACCACAGGACGATGCAAATAGACCTGAACCTGGGAAATGCCCAGCGCGGCTGGAGGCAGAGCCTGGCCCATGGGGATGCTGCCGCCTCCGGGCAGGGAGCCTGGCCAGCGAGAGCATCTCAGCAGCTCCAGCTTCGCCCTCCAGCACATCCCCGTTCCCCGCGCACAGCAGATGGGAACAGGCACCTTCTCCTTCTCGGAAAACCCCGGCGATCGCCCGGTCGCTGCACGCTCACACAGCCAGGGGATGGCCTGGGCAGCACGGCGGGGCCCCACGACCCCCCTGCCCGGGGCTGGCAGCACGACGGGCTGCGGGTCACTGTGATCTGGAGACACATTCCCAGGCGATGGGACCTGCCCATGCTTGGAGCTGCAGCCCCGTATCAGCAGGGACATCCCGATGCTTTTGCAGCCCTCTCCGGGCTGAGGAACAGAGCAAGACAGAGCCTCAGGGGATAAAAAGCTGTTTCCTCTCCCTGTTATGGGAGTTAGTGCTTTGGTTTAAGAGAGCCTTGGGCTGGATTCCCATCTTTAAATCATCCCACACCTCCTCGCCTCCTCAACACACGACAGCAAACAGAGGGTGAGCAAAGCACCCGAGTCCAGCCCAGACGAGGATGAGACTTCAGGACCGCTGCGTCCCCACCTCGTGCTCTCAGCACAAGGATTTACCGGGTTTTAATGGCTCATGGATGGATTAGCAAAGCCTGTGATGGACTAGCAGGTCCCCGAGAGCGTGATGTGCCAGAGCCGCATGGATACTGGAGTCTGCATGAGTGGAAATGGCAGGAGGTGACCTCGGGGATGGAGCGCGGGGCGGCTGGCGTGGCTGCCATGCACGAGCCATGCACGGCCCGGCGGCCGGAGGCTTACTTGCATGTAGAGCTGAGCCCTAGGGGAGGAGGTCTCCACCATCCTGTTCACCATACTGATCAGGGTTTCGCTCTCGCTCATCTGCGGCAGACAGGGAAGGAAAGTTCAGAGGTCAGCGGCGATGTGCTCGGGTGCCATCAGAGCAGCGGGGCGGCTCGGTCCACGAGCCCTCGGGGCATCGGGCTGCAAGATGCCACCTCCAAGAGATGTCCCAGAGACTTGAGCCACATGGGGATGGCTGCCCCGAGCTGCTGCTGCTCCGGTTTGTGCACTGAAGAGCATCCTGGGCTGGTTGCATGCCCTGAAAACTTTGTTGAGGGGAAAACACAGATAAAATGGAGCCAGCTCCGAGCTGGGCGGCAGCAAACTGCACACACAGACACAAGCTTGCACAGAGACGCCCCCGGCTGCAACGCACAGTGTGGTCCCAGCAGACGGACAGACGGACCCCACTCCTCGTGCTGACAAACGGCTCGGTGCCCTGCCCTCGCGGAGGGGCCGGGGCTGGGATAGCCCTCCTCAAGGCACAGATGAGCTCTGGGCACAGGGGAAGGTGACCGAAGCCTGGGGTTGGGGACCGCAGCATCCCCCGCGTGGGAACAAGGTGCTCCCGTGGAGATGGCACATCGCAGCCGTGCTGCTGCGCAGGGCAAGGATGCGACGGCGTGCGGCATGCCTCTATCTCCCCAGAGCTGCAGCCAGACGGCGGCTCTGTCGCGGGCTGTGCCGAGCCCCCCCAGACACAAGCCCACCCTGTCCAGGCAGACCCCGACCCCGGAGCCCCTTTACACCCCTGCAACCCGGGGAAGGGGCTTTGCTGCTCTCAGCGCACTGCTGCCAGGGCACGCAGCCGCCACCGGCCGCGGGGTCCCTCGGTACTGCGTGGTGGAGCCGCTCAAACCAGCGGCACCGGAGCTTCACCGCTGCCTTTGCCAGCAGAAGCGCTGCAGGAGCCCACAGCCCAGCGCAGACGATGCGAAGGAAGCCCCTCGCACCCCACGGCCAGGACCCTCGAGGTCCAAAGGGTGACTGACGGCAGTTTACTCACAACGCAGGGATCAAACCCCGACGGGGGGGGCAGTCAGCAAGGTGGGGTGCAGCCGAGGGAGCCATCCCCATAATCGGACAAAGAAGGAGAGAGAAAATAAAGCGGCAAGTTCTTTGAAAAGAGATACTTGACAGCGTCACTCCGCATTAGTCTCTCCAGAGGTCAGCGGGAGAGGAGGAGGGGATGCAGAGCCTTTTTAGGCAGCGTTTTAAAGAGCCTCGGAGAGCGAGCATTGCTGCCGACGGCCGTGAAATAATCCAGAGAGCTTTTATTGCAGCGAGTGCTCCTGCCTGTCCTTGGCTCCGCTCCAAGGCAGACACAGATCTTGGCGATTACTGCACCGATGGAGATTTGCAGACTAACGAGATTGTCTCTCAGTGCAAGCCCAGCTTTTGCAGGCAAGCGCCTGAGCTGCAGCACTGGCTGACGGCTCCTGTCCCTGGCTTCGACATCAGCCCGTGCCTGTAATTTCCACCCCACCAGTCCCGGGGCGGGGGGGCCTCTCCCAGCCGGATTACCCCCACCCCGCTCCTGGGATGAAATCAGTTCACAGCTTTCCTCCAAACACCCCCCGCCATGCAAAAACCTGGGAGCTGCTGCTTTGGTATCGGTCCCAGCGGGTACCTCACGCCAGCCCTGCATCAAGCTTCTCGCCTTCAAGAAGGAACAGGGCCAGCACCTCACCGAAACCACCTCGCACCCATCCGGCTCCCCACGGCTCTCCTGGCCACCCCCTGCACTGGGGGCACCAGCCCGGTTCACACCGACACTGGTGGCACTGCTGGGTGTGGGGACACGCCGCTCAGCATGGCCACGCTGGCACCGTGCATCCGTGTCCCACATCACCCCGAGGCAGCACGGTACGGACCGACCCGGGGAGGATTTCGGAGCTGGCTGCCTCCCCGGCACCCCGGGAGCAGCTCCCCGAGGCCCTGGGCACGTGGGAAGCTGCCCCGGCTGCCCCCGAGACCCCCCACCAACTCCAGCCCACCACACAGAAGGCACCATCGAGGGATTTTTTCTACAGACGGGAAGGATGGAAGAAGCAAACCAAAGACAACTCGTGCTGTTTTAATGCCAAGAAGGGTGAGGATGGATGTTAGGGGAAGAGATGCTGTGCCGGGAGGGAAGGGGACGCCACTGGGGACGGGGCACAGGGGGATGTAAGCAGCGTGAGGCTCGCAGCCAGCTCTGCCTACCTGCTGGTCCAAATACTCTAGGTTTCTTTGCAACTGAAGGTCTAAAAGTTCATCCTACCAGGAGCCAGCAGGCATGCGGCAAGAAACGAACACACAAAACATATAAAAGAAGAAGCAAAGCGGTTAGGTGAAGGCTACGGAAATGAGAAGACCTCTCGTCCGGGGAAGCGAGGCACCTCCCTGGCACAGAGCCGGGAGAGCCGCCGCGGATGTGCCCTGCGGGAGACCCGCTCTCCTCCCGGCTCTCCCTCCCGGCTAATGGTGCCCTCTCCCTGCGTCTGCGGCTAGCGAGGATGGATGGCGGCATGGGTAGCTTATGGTAACTCGTGCTTCTCCCTCCTCCAACGGGAGCCGGTCCTGCCCTGTGGTTTTGGGACTATGCCCTGCGGGGGGACCTCCCGGTCTCACCCCACCGGCTCCAACCCCTCAGCGCTCCGAGGGGAAACGCAACGCAGGAAAAAGCAGCAGCTGTAGGCAGAAGTAAGGAAGCAAGAGGGGGGAGAGGTGCCGGGTGTGCGTCAGCCTCAGCCGGGGACCACCCTGGGGGTGACGAGCCTGGGCCAGCATCGCGGGGCGTACCGGGGTCCAAGGGTGTCCCACTGCTCCCGCAAACAGGGGGCTGCAGGGCAGGAACTGGGGGCCTTTCCATCAGGGTTTCCTTTGGGGACAGCCGGGAGGGACCAGAGACACCAGTAAAGGGACCTGCGGCCCCAACCTGCCCCAGAACAGCCCAGCTCTGACCCACAAAGCTGCCCCTGGAGCAGAATGGTTCTTCCTCAGCCGTCTGAGGAAGGAGCCCCCCGAGCTGGCCAACCTCCTGGGGGGGCTCTAAGCACCCCGGTCCTCCAGGGCTCACCCCCTCGGCGCCAGCAGCTTACGTACCATTTTGTCGTGGACGGTGGGGGATGCCGGGTAGTGGTACGGGTACATTCCCGCAGGGACGGGCCGTCTGTCACCCAGATAGTCATACTGAGAAGAGAGGAGACCCCCCCAACCCCAAAACCAGAGACACGTGAGAGGTGTGCGAGAGGCCAGAAAGCACGTGCAGGGGCAGAGCCCAGACCCACAGCGGGGTCAGACCTGGCTTTGGGGCGCACAGCAGCGAGACAGGGACACCAGCGCTCCCTGCTAGGGAGCACATCACTCCTGGTGGCCCTGAGCATCGTATTGCATTGCATCCCATCCCATCGTATTGCATCGCATCCCATCCCATCGTATTGCATCGCATCCCATTGTATTGCATCACATCACATCGCATGTCATCCCATCCCATCCCGTCCCGTCCCATCCCGTCCCATCCCATCCCATCCCATCCCTCTGGGCTCACAGCAGCGAAGGAGCAGCCAGAAGGAAACAATCACAACCTGAGCAGCTTTGCAGGACAGCAAGAGGGGACCTAAAGCCCCCTGGCTGGTGCAAGCCACAGACTTGGTGGCATTTTGGGGACAGGCTGTGCTGCAGCATCCCTGCCCTGACGTCCCCAGCGAGGGTCCCCCTATGCCCCCCGAGCGCCGACAGGCATTCACCTTTGGAGAACTGATGGATCGCCTCATCATGAAGGTGGTGGGGTCGGCATAAATTCCTCTCCCCGGGGCGGCAGCCGCTCGAAGCGGGCGCTGGGCGAGCGGACCGGGGAGTACACCCGTGCCCGGCTGTAGGAGCCCTGGCTGGGCGAGCGGGGCACGGAGCGGGAGCGGGGCTGTAGCGACATGCGTCGCAGGGAGCCCGAGGCTGCATCCACCTCATCCAAGTAGGTCGGCTGCCTCCCGGGACCGGGCAACCAGAGCGGGACGTCTTGCCGGCCAAAACCGGGGTGTTCCTTCCAGTCGCGGAGCTGGTAGGTGCCCCCGTTGCGGAAGGAGTGCCGTTTGTCCTCCAGCGCCCAGGGCGGGCTCACCCGCTCGTAGGCGGGCATGGAGCAGATGCTGTCGGGGCGCACGCCGGGTGGGTAGTACTGGTAGTCCTCGGGGTACTGGGGCGAGTAGGGGGAATAGTAGTCGGGCACCCGGCGAGACACTGGGTAAAACCTGGTGGGGCTGGAGGGGGGAAGAGAGCCGTGAGAGCCGGGCTGGTAGCCAGGCGGTGCCCGGCCCCTGGCTCCACAGCCGGAGGTCCCGGTGAGCGAGGACAGCCTGAGAGCAGGCAGCTCTGACACCAGCACCAGGAAAGCTGGCTGGTTGGCATCCCTCCTCCCGCAGACCCCACGGTGGCCTTCCTTCCAAAATCCACCCTGCTTCGCTTTTCAGGGTGTCCCATGCCCAGCTCACAGCTGGCAGGTGGGGACAGCCCAGAAAGGAGATTTTCTGACCCCAGGAGGGGATAAAGCAGGTGGGAAGGGGAAAATCATTCCCAGAGCATCACCGGAGGGGCAGCCCTGGAGAAAAGGAGCAGGACCCCATCCCCTCTGCCCCCAGCCAGCCCCCCGCAGCCCTCACCTCCGCAGCTCCTCGGGGGGGTTGGCCCCCCGGCGCGAGTTGACCCACTGCTGCAGCTGCGTCATGGAGCTCTTGCGCTGGGCGATCTTCTCGGGGTTGGTGCGGGGGGCAAAGCCCCGGCGGTGGGCCACGCTCTCCCCGTCGGGCGGGGGGTACGCGGTGCTGCCAGGGCGGCTGGGTGACGAGTATGTCCAGCCGTTGGGCTGGGGTGGCCGCTCCGCGCTCGCCGGTACCCGGGGTGCCTCGGGGTAAGGACTGCCGGGCTCCGAGGGCATCTCCTGCCCAGCGATGCCGTTGGCTTTGGCCAAAGGTTCCTTCTTGCTCTCCGTCCTCTCCGACTTCCTCTCGATCTTCTCTGAGCCGCGGCCGTCGCCTTCCCCTCGGGTCTTGGCGTCGGGGTCGGCTTTGGGGTGCTCGCGGTGGGCGGCGTTGCGGTGGTGGTGGTGGTGGTGTTTGCTGGGGGGGATGTTTTCAGAGTCCGGCTTCTCGTGCCTGGAGGGTGCCAAAGCACGAGAGAGCATTACCCTCCCTTTGCAATGCCCTTGGGGTGGCCGGTAACGTCCTGTCCCTCCCTCAGCCTTGGGGGGCCAATGCTCCCCCAGCTCCGTCCTCCAGAGGGACCCTCATGCTCCCAGGAGGTGCCCGGCTGTGATGCACGGCCCCTCCGCTCCATCGCCACGAGAGCAGGGGAGCGGGGCGGCACAGGGAGATGGTGGGTGCTGACCTCTGGGTCGGGGGGATCTGCACCCGGGCGGCTTCGCCCATGGCTTGGATCCAGGACTCCTGCTCCTCCGTGTTCTCGGCGCTGAAGAAGTACGTCCGGATGCCAGCGTGCTCAGCCTGGGGAGACAGGGACTGCTCGTTACTCGCCGGCATCTCCTCCACCCAGCACACTGTCACCTGCAGGGAGGCAGAGAAGTGGGGAGAGAGACAGACAGGAGGGTGAGAGCTCCATTTCCACCCCGGCACGAGGTCCCGCCACCGCAGAAGATAGACACGGTCCTTCCTTCCCTCCCTGCCCCAGCCACATGCATCCTCGGCGGCAGCGAGCGGGAGGAAGGCTCTGCAGGCAGAGCCAGCGCCAGCTCTGGTCCCCTCACAGGGGGTCCCCTGGGGCCACATGTCCCCCACAGTCGCCCCCAGCGATGCTCGGGATCAGTTCCCCCCCAGGGCCCCACACCAGAGCAGCATCATCCCCGTGCAGACGTTGCTGTGCCCCAGCATCGAGCGGGTCCCCGCGAGAGCAGCAGCGCTGGATGGAGTGTTATCGTTCATGCAGGGTTAGGAGGAAGGTGGTTTCTTGGCCCAGACAACATTTTTTTGGGGGAAAAAGGTTCACTTTTGGTCTAAGGTGTCAGTGCCCACTCTCCACGCGGAAGGTGCTGGAAGGCAGGTCTGGCTATTTAGAGCCTTTGCAAAGCTTCCAACCATCCCGTCTGTGGAAAGGGATGGGAGGCAGCGAGGAGGAAGAAAAGGGAGAAAGCAGGAGGTTTTTCCCCCTGAAAAACTTTCAGGGCTCAATCTCTTAAAAATAAAAAAAAATTAAAAAAATATCGGGGATCCAATTAAAATCTTCCCTTAGGCTTCCGTCTTCCCCTTCCCCAGAGCATGCAGCCACCGTGCCCGGCCGCGGGGTCACCTCCTGCAGCCCCCCCCGTGCCTCCAAAAGCTCTGCAGCCAGAGCAAAAGATCAAACCAAACCCAGTCGTCCCGAGTTAGTGCAAGCGGGGCGAGCGGAGCATGCCGGCAAGCCTGCGGGTCCCTCACCCTCCTGCATGCATCAGAAACACAAGAAGGTACTACCTAGGCAGTGGCTGGGTGCTGGCGTGGCGGACGGGCACGAAGAGAGACCTCCTGTCCGGGGATCCTCGCCCGCGGAGAGAGGGGGAAACACAGACAGGGGTGAAGCCGCAGCGTGGCAGGAGCGCGGGTGCTGCAGCACAGACCTCTCCCGGCCGTCGGGGACCCTTTCTACCCTTCTCTGAACAAAACCATCCCCCCAAAACCCTCTCCTGCAGATGGAACCGCGGGCAGGCGGCTGCAGAGCTCGGTTCGTGGGCAGCAGCTTCGCAAAGCGCCGTCCCCATCAGGGTCACAAGTCAAAGGACATTATGACACCCCCAGGTCACTTCTCTGCCCTCACCTGCAGAAGCCACAGGCAAAGAGACACCTTGCTGGCCGCCAGCATCAGCACGGGCGTGCGGGAGAGCCCACGCTGCCACTTGGCCACGCTCGCCCCTACACCGGGCTCGGCTGGGGAGGGAGAACAGGGTTTA